CTCCCTCTTTCCCTCCCCAGCTGTCTGTAAAGTTGCCGTCAGATCTGAGTAACAAGGTCTGAGAGGGGCTACTGTGTTAAAACCACTTGTAGTCAGTCTGTGTGTCTCTCTTGTGTTCCCAGCTGCTAAGATGATGGTCTACCTGGAGCCCTCCTCTGATAAGATGGCCTGTGAGATTGCTACGGCCCTGGACGAGTCATTGTCTGGAAAAAGCCTCCAGGTCTGTGGTAATTTACCAACAACTACACCAGACATCACTCACACATTTAGAACATGTCCTTAAACTATGTGTCTGTGTGTGCGCTGCAGATCTGTACCGAGGTGCTGGAGGCTCTGCGTGATGGGCAGCTGGGCGAGGGCCAGCAGAAGGCCGCCGAGGCGTACCGAGCCGCCTGCCACAAGATCTTCCCCTACAGCCTGGCCTTCATGCCACCCGGTTACCAAGACAACAGCACCACAATCAGTGCCAACGGCGACCTGTCGGCAGGGGAGCACGACGACATGGCAAATGAGATGTGAGCTCTGATGAGGAGGAGGAGGAGGAAGAGGAGGTGCGAACAAGCCGCCAGACGCCTTAGTCCACCAACACACCAATTTCCCCCACCCCCTCTCCAATCCCTGGGCTATGGCTGCTGTGAGTCGCCCCACATTGCACTGATCTGGATGGACTGAGCGCTACAGGAAAGGGAGCCGGCACGCGCAGGAAGGCGACGCCCAATTAACTTTTTTAAAACAATAAAAAAAAAAAAGGCCCTGTCCACAGTTGTTCTGAAAAAAAAAAAAAACTGCTAAATACAGTATGGGGAGGCAAAAGAGGATTCTGGGAAAAGTGGACATTGGCTGGCTAAAATGGCTTCTGTAAACACAGTCTAGGTTTTCTATAACTCCTGTGTTTTCACGCCGTGTCCTTCTCGAAGGTGCATCTGCTTCTCACGTTTTTAAAAGTAATTTATATATTACAAACTGACAAATGGATTAATAAAACAATGTTTGCAAAACCAAACAGTACCATTGTGATAGTGGTGGTGGTGGGCGGGGGGGGTGTTCAGAATGTGAGCTGCTGTTGTCAAAATGAGACAGGAAAGGGGAGATGTTCCAGGGAGGTCGTAGTTCCTGTGGGACGCTTTGTGTGACTTCATGCTGATCCCTTTGCTTGTCTGCACCTCAGCAGTTTGATCCTGGCGGGAACAGGCTGTGAGGTATCCCATTAAAACCACTTGTTTCCAGCAGGTGAAGGTGGGCGCATCGTCAGCCTGCTCCTGTTCGTCAACCGTCGGAGTTCTGAATAAAACCGGTTCTCTGAAGGGATCTCGTTTGATTGTAGAGCGAACTAGATTGAATAAAATGTAAGCTGTACTGAGAGAGCACAAAGCATCATTCTCTGTACGGTAAAGTGCTGTGAGTCATCCTCTATAGAGAGTGTCCAGCTGGACCTCTGCAGTTTGGGTCGGGGCATATCTGTCCAGAGCCTCCACCTGTCCAGAGTTCTGGGAGCTGAGAAAGGTGTGGTCCTGGTTCAAGTAGGTGGTGATGCTCTCTTTAGGACCGCCTCCAGGAACATGTCTGCTGCTCTGTGTAACCTTGTGTAAATCCAAATGTTTGGACATTTGCAGATTCGCAGGACTAAGTGGACACGTTCACAAGGGACCTCAAAGTGGACTTTGTGCAGGCTTCAACAGTTTAATTACAATACAAATGTGACATAGTTTTTCTACTTATCGACTAAAAAGCAAAAAGAACTTATTATGAATATGTAAATTACTTGAATCATGTAGATGTGAAACAATATTTAACCAGAAATATAACTGTTGCTTTGAACGTTTCCACAGCAGTGAGTGAAACAGACTTGCAAGTCCAGAGTGGACGTTTAGATTCAGCCTGTGTTTAGCCCTGAAGAAGAGCTGAGCCACAGATAGGACAGTATTTTTTGTATGCAAAGTCAGTGTCCATTTGTCTTCCAGCAATACAAACAACTATAGAACCAGTTTCCAACAGGAAGAGTAAGGAATCAAAGTTAAGAATGATTAAAATTCCCAGGGTGTCAAATACAGATGCTTTGAGACCCTGGGAATGAGACTATCATTCTCCGCTCTGATTGGTTGTTTTCATTCAGGGCTGGTGGATTTTGCTCCTCATCCTCATAGGTCCAGGTCCCTTTTGTCCCTTTTCTCAAGAGCTCATGTTTACAGGCTCGCACGTACAGCTAACAACATAAAGGTTCATTACAGAACTAAACATAAAGGCATTAATGATGATGATGATAATAAATGTTTATGCATGCCCCTGTTCACATACATAAACACACAAAGACCGGTATGGACTGAAAAGGCTCTTAGAGGAAATGTAACATTATTAGACTGTATCAGTGTATGTGGTGAGATACAGAAGCAGTCTATAGTCTATAGTTGGTCTGTTTGCAGCGTTTATACGTGCTGTGGACACCAGGAGATTTACATTAGAAACATTTAACAGTTTTACTATCATGATTTGGACTTTTTCCATCCTTATAGTGTTCACAAAGTCACAAACCGTCATATCATTTAGGGTTAGGACTAGTATTTACATAACGCTGTACTCATCACTGCCAGTTTGTCTGCAGTATCTGCTGATTTGACTGCAGTTTACTACAGTGTTCCTCTAACCTGAAATACAAATAACATTTTCCGGGACGATGACAATTATTTCCAGGATATTTGGTCATTTTAATCAAGATTTTTCCATAACTGGAAAACTAGTCTCTAAATATCCAGATTCTCCAGGACACATGGGAACCCTGACAGTGTGTCTAAAAACATGTCTGCCAGTTTGCCAGCAGTAGCTCACATCAACATATTTATGCTGTTACAAGTCATATCTTTATCATACATAAAGCATGGCATGCTTATTAATTCATATATATGAATATATTAATCGGATAAAAGAGGTAGAACATATTATAATTTGTTTTAAACCTTGAGTGTGAGTTACAGTAACATTACTTACTAATGCTAACTCCATATTTATCTTGTTTATTCCTCCAGAGAGGTACACACCAGTGTCTGCTTCCTCTAAGGAGGTAACCCACACTGATTACTAATTCATCTAATTTTCTGCTACTTAAATCTAGAAATGTTAAAAGATAATGTGTCCTCAAAGTCTTCCAGATGGACCTTCACAGTTTGGGTCGGGGCATGTCTGTGTCCTGATCCTCCACCTGTCTGTTCTGGGAGCGGAGAAAGGTGTGGTCCAAATTCAAGTAGGTGGTGATGAACTCTGGGAAATCTCTCTTTAGGACCACCTCCAGGAACATGTCTGCTGCTGTGTGTAACCTCTGTTTGGCCCTGAGGTGGACAGACACAGACAGACAGAGACACAAGGCCAATATAAGAGGCTTGTAAATGTTATATACAGTAAGAATGAAAGAGTACTGGCCTGACTGTTGTTTATTGGTCCTATACCATGATTGTGAATGCATACATCTCTGTATGCTATAGCAGACATACAATTATATTCCACTGGAGTTAGGGATCTACCATAGATAGGCTGCATGTCCTTTACGTTTAACAGGCTTGTCCCAAAAGGTGTCCTCCAGGAGTGTATGCTCACCTGACCGAGTGACAGAGAGCACTGAGCTCCATCATGACCTCATTGGTGAGGTTAGTCACCAGCCGCCTGCTCACCACCCTGCTGTCGTCCTCCATCTGAGTCTGATGTCGGATCCACTGCCACACCTGACACACACACACACACACACACACACAGTTATTCATACTTTAGGTATAGTCATTTAAGCTTTGCAATGTTAGTTAGCTACAGCAAACACAGGTGTTACCAGTGATACTAATTAAAGTTCCATTCTGGTCAAACAGAGTCGGGGTGCTGCTGTTGTGCATGTTGGCTCACTG